GGCTACGTGGGGAACCGGGCGGCCACGTTCCCGCTGCAGGTACGCGCCGCCGCCCGGGCTTACGTAATCGGCTCGGGCTGTCCCCGCGCCTGTCGTGCGGGCCCCTGGCGTGGTGACCCCAGCCTGCCGGCCGCCCGCCTCCAAACCTCGCGACCTTGGCCGGGCCGCCCGAGACGAGCCTCAGCTCCCAGTCGGTGTGGGGTGCCGAGGGAGGCAGGCGTCGCGATGAGCCTCCCTCCTCTGGTTGGCTTGTGGGGGTGGAAGGGGAGGGGTGAGCACTCTGGTGGGCCCATGCGGGTGGGATTTGTCCCCGCGTCTGGGTGGGGTGCCCAGGTAGAACGAAGTCCCGTGCACTGGCTGTGGCGCAACCTTCCCGCTGGCAAGGGCAGGGTCAGCCAGGGAGTCCCTGGAGGGCAGGAGTATGCGGAAGGGCCTGAGGAGTCACGTGAACCCCGCTGGCGCGCTGAGAGCCTCGGAGGTGTCAGGTGTTTGCGTGCTCACCTGCTGTGCCCCAGGATTCCCTGTGCATCAGGAAGCTGAGAGGAAGTTGGGGGAGGCTGAGTAAGGTCACGGACAGAGAAGCCACGTTGCCCACTCAAAGGGCCTCACTCGGGCTGACCAATCCAGGAAGGGTCAAAGGGAAAGGGGTGGGGCTGGGACTGCCTTGCACCCTTTGGCGGAGAAGACCTCCCTGCAAGGGTTGTCCTGAAGGAGAAATGCCCCAGAGACCAGTGCAGGGCTGCAGGTTGGCTTTAGGAAGCCGCCTTTTAAAACGCTTTACTACCATAGCCCTCCTGCTGCCCCTGCAGCCTGATCCGTGAGGAGCTCACGGATTGTTCGCAGCTTGATTGTAGCTGGGGCCCTTGGAGGGGCAGGAGGGGTTCTGGGTGCTGTGGGGTGTCACGCTGGGCCAAGGCAGAACCCGGGTTTTGGGCACTTCCTTGCCTTATGGTCCCTGAGAGAGGGGTCTAGCTCTCTATGAGTCCTGAGGGAGGATTGGGGTGTTGACTCTTCCTGGGCTGTTCACGCTTGTCCCCTCCCTGTGCTGGCCCCAACAGGACGCAAAGAAGGCTAGGCCGGTCATGCCTGGCCTGCGGTGTGCGAGTTGTCCTGGAAGGAAGATAGGAAGTGTCATAGCCATGCCTCTGGAATTTGAGTGCTGACCTGAGCGGGAAAAGTAACTGGGTTCAACAAACTGAAGGGGGAGCTGAGTTATGAGTCCCTACTGGGAAGTGTGCAGTGCTTTACACAGTCTCATTCCAGCCAGAAGAGGGCAGACCTTGCCTTGGGTAGTCAGGGTGCACCTGCCCCACAGCCTCTGCTCTTAAGCACTGCTCCGGACTGCCCATAGCTTGTGGGGGGGAAAGGGAGGTCACTGCAGTTAGGCAGATTGCTTGAACAGGGGGAATTGTGCTTGGGAACAAAGGTGCAGGGTCCCTAAAGCAGGGGCAATTGGGGAGGAACCAACAGGGTTCTGAGAACAGCTTCGGCTCTCTGCCCCTACTGCAGGAACCTCCCCAGCCCGCCTTTAGCAGAAGTGTGTGGGCCCCTTCCCGTCCACCTGCTGCCACTCCTTCTTTTTCCCTTCATTGAGCAGTCTGTCCCCTTCCTCAGAACAGATTGCTGACCCTGAGTCCTCCAGCAATTTCCCTTGTCTCTGAACTTCCCATTACTCAAGGTGGGGGGCTCACAGTGACCCAACCGGGCAGTGCCTCTTTAAGGACAGAGCTGCTTTTCTTACTTGGGGTTTCCCCAGTACCCAGCATCCTTATCTGTGGGCACCACAGGGTTCCATGCAGGCATTTTGCTTCCCCATCCTTACATCTGAGCATCACTGAATAGGGAAAAGTAATGAGGCGGGGAGGAGTGAGATCGCTGGGTGAGCCATCTTGGACCTGCCATAGTGAGCACAGGAGGAACTGGGAGGTGCAGAGCCTGGATGTGACCTTGGGGCCAGTGCTTGCGCCCCCAGCAGCAATTCCAAGGGGAAGCATGCCCTAGAGTCCAGAGCTGCTCTTATCAGGAATTTATTTTTTATTTCATTATATATTTTTTTGAGTTGGAATCTCACTCCATCGTCCAGGCTAGAGTGCAGTAACACTCTCATGGCCACCCCAGCATCCACCCACTGGGCTCCGGTGATCCTTCTGCCTCAGCCTTCCAAGTAGCCGGAACTACAGGCATGAGTTACAGTGCCTGGCTAATTTTTTTTATTTATTGTAGAAATGAGGTCTTGTCAATTTGCCCGGACTGGTCTTGAACCCATGGACTCAGGCAGTCCACCCACCTCAGCCTCCCAAAGTGCTGGGATTACCGGCTGAGCCACCGAGCCCGACCAAGCAGGAATTATTATTAACTTTGATGGACTCCCTATACCTTGGGGGCTCCAAAAGTTGTTCATATGGCTGAATAAGGGGACAGAAAGCTTAGAAATGGGGGAGAATGTTTGACTTTGACTGGGCCTCACAGATTTGCCATAATGCTGCCTGCAAAGAGACTGGAAAATGGGTCGGGGGCTTGGCATGTGGCAATGGGATGGAAAGGCCACTTGTGGGGACTGACTCAATCTGGGTCCTGCCTTGAAGTAGATGTCTTAGAATTCTGGCTGAGGGACCTGGCCCTGATGTCTGAGCCTTCCCTAGTCTTACCTGCAAGCCCCGCACAGTCCCTGTTGGCACGATGGTACCAATGCTCCTTGTGTCTTTCACTCCTGGCTCAGCATGTTCTTGCTGGGAGCTCCGCTGTTCCTCTGTGAGCAAGGCACAGAGTTGTCCCCATGGAACGGCTTGCGTATCTGGGCTTTAGAGCAGCATCCTCAGTGCTTTCTGCCAGTTCCTGGAGCATACCATTCTTTCTTGCTCTGCAACCTGTGGGCAGCCACCTGCCCTGGGCCGAGGACAGTGTTGTGCCAGAGAGAAGGGAGCAGAATGTTGACCCTCTGTTTGTATTTTGTCTCTGGGCCTGAGTCCAAGGTACATCTCAGTGGCGGAGGGGCATAGATGAAAGTGACCAGCACTGGCAGGAGGTACATGATTCAGTGTGCAGGGGACAGGGAGGCAGGCTCGAGGTGAGTGGAGGAGAGGAGCTGGGGCTGTCTGAGTCCTGGACACACCTATGCCAAGGACAGACAGGCCACGTGATGCATGTGGGGGTAGGGGATTCCCTACTGTGGTGGCTAGGATTCTAGACAGGGGACAAGAAAAGGGAATGAGTAGGTGGAGTGAAGGGTGGCCTGCCTGCTGTCTACCTCACCAGATACTTCTGGGACTGTTTCCTCTTGGGAGAAGGAGGCCTCAGGTTCTTCAGGCCTGGGAGGTTGGTTGTTTTGAGTCCCTATACATGTCTGTGCAAAGCCCTCCTGGCAGGTCTTGCATCTCTGTAGTTCCCATTCAGGGATGAAGAGCCAGGATAGACTTGCAACCCTGCCTCTGCCCTGTGGCTTCCCACTGTGGTGAAAACCTCTGAGGTGCTGGTTTGCTAGGATTGCCATAACAAAGAGCCACAAACCGGGTGGCTTTAAACAACAGAAGTTCATTCTCTCAAGGTCTGGAGGCCAGAAGTCTGAGATCAAGGTGTCAGCAAGAGCATGCTCCCTCCAAAAGAGAATCATTCTTTGCCTTTTCCAGCTTTTGGTGCCCTAGGCATTCCTTGACTGTGGACTCATCCCTCCAGTCCCTGCGTCTGTCTTCATATGACCTTCCTCCTGTGTCCCCTATCCTTTAAGGACACCTGTCATGGGATTTATGGTCCACCCAGATAATCCGGGATGACTTCTTGGAATCCTTAACTCAATGGCCTCTGCAAAGAGTCTTTTCCAAATGTAGTCACATGCACAGGTTCCCGGAAAACATATTGTTAGGTCACACTCCCAGTGGGGTGCCTCCAGAATGTTAGGTCGTGCCCACTAGGATGTGGGTGTCTGTGTGATCCAGTGCATGAGAAAGATGCAAAGAATTGCACAGAGGATAGATCAGAAAATATAACTTATTTAGAAAGTAAATTAGAGAAAGAGGAGATTCACCTCCCCAAGGTAGGGGAGGGGGCCAAAGCCAGGAAATAGGGTCTGGGCATAGCCTAGCAAGACAGCGGTGGCTGGTTGCTCATGGCTGAGTCCTCTTAATCCTTCTCTTTGATGATGGAAGGTCATCAAGGTGATTGGGTAGTGGTCTGTTCCATGTCATTATGAAGGGGCAGGTAAGCACAGGTACTGATGTCAGGTGATGGACAGCAGGAAGATGGGTGGGTTAGTCACATGATTGCTGCCATGGTGGTGGATTTGTCTGTGTCATGGAGGTCACAAAGGGCTGATTAGGTTGACCTTGGGTCTTGTGGGTGAAGGCAAATACTTGGAATACAAAAAGCTAACTAGTAACAAGCTGGGGCGGGGGTTGTAAAGCAACTATCAATAGCTACCTCTGAGAAGCTGGTTCTGTCGTTGGCTAGTGATTAGAGGGTAAGTTAAGTGAACTGCTAGAAAAACATGAGACTTAGACAATGTTAAAATGACTGCTCATTGGGTATATTGAATCCATGTTATATCCTTTCACATATTCTTTGGAGGGGTCTACCATTCAATCCACCATGAGTTAGAAAGAGCCTTCAGAAAAATTGGAAAGTGGTGTACATTTAGGGTTAATTAAAGCCCCAGAAGTTGATGACGTCAAGCTGTCCTTTTTGGAAGTAAGGGAAGCAGCAGTTATAAGTCTCCAAGCTGGGCTACGAAGAGCATCTCCTGAGGGTGGCAACAGGCACTCCCAAGGCCACCAGCAGTCCTGCGGGGGCAGACAGGCCAGGCCTGATACTGCATCCAGGTGGCTAGGTGGCTAGGTGGCAGGCTTCATGCTGGCTGGGTTGATACTCCTGTCCTTCCCTTGTCAGCCTTTGGAGCAGCCAGTGTAGCCTCCCGGGATCACGGCAGTAGGGAGGAGGTAATGAACATTGGATGTTAAGTTATTGAATTCTAGGGCTTTGAGGCTCTAACTTGGGACTTGAGCTTAACACTCAATATTTATTTACTTATTTATTTTTGAGGTGGAGTC